AGCTATACAGGTACAGTACATTATTAAGTGTAGGGGTGGGAGTAGACAAACTGGGGGAGTAACCAGCTATACAGGTACAGTACATTATTAAGTGTAGGGTGGGAGTGGGAGTAGACAAACTGGGAGTAACCAGTAGACAAACTGGGAGTAACCAGCTATACAGGTACAGTACATTATTAAGTGTAGGGGTGGGAGTAGACAAACTGGGAGTAACCAGCTATACAGGTACAGTACATTATTAAGTGTAGTACACATTATTAAAGTGGGAGTAGACAAACTGGGAGTAACCAGCTATACAGGTACAGTACATTATTAAGTGTGTGGGGTGGGAGTAGACAAACTGGGAGTAACCAGCTATACAGGTACAGTACATTATTAAGTGTAGGGGTGGGAGTAGACAAACTGGGAGTAACCAGCTATACAGGTACAGTACATTATTAAGTGTGTAGTCAGGGGAGTAGACAAACTGGGAGTAACCAGCTGTACAGGTACAGTACATTATTAAGTGTAGGGGTGGGAGTAGACAAACTGGGAGTAACCAGCTATACAGGTACAGTACATTATTAAGTGTAGGGGTGGGAGTAGACAAACTGGGAGTAACCAGCTATACAGGTACAGTACATTATTAAGTGTAGGGTGGGGAGTAGACAAACTGGGAGTAACCAGCTGTACAGGTACAGTACATTATTAAGTGTAGGGGTGTAGGGAGTAGACAAACTGGGAGTAACCAGCTATACAGGTACAGTACATTATTAAGTGTAGGGGTGGGAGTAGACAAACTGGGAGTAACCAGCTATACAGGTACAGTACATTATTAAGATGTGTAGGGGTGGGAGTAGACAAACTGGGAGTAACCAGCTATACAGGTACAGTACATTATTAAGTGTAGGGGTGGGAGTAGACAAACTGGGAGTAACCAGCTATACAGGTACAGTACATTATTAAGTGTAGGGAATTTTGTGACACTGACACTGTCATGTTGTACGTGATTAAATGTTTCCCTGGCGTAGAGCCAAATCCACAAGGCAATGAAAAGCGTTTTTGGATATGGCTTCACATTATACCCTCTCATATTGAAAGCAATGCATAAGGAACCTTCATCCATTCATTCATTTCAACATAACACGTAAACGAGCTATCGGCCCAGGGCATTAAACATTTCCCATGCTTTAGACGCTTTCACTGTGTACTAGGAAATGTACAGTCCAGCCCAAAGATAAATTTAATAATGAAGGACAGTAATATTACTGACGTCAATAGTCCTAAACATTCGACACTTACTTCACAGCACGACTGTTCCTGGACTGATCATGTTAACCGTATCGCTAAAACGGTTGCTCCCATGGTAAACTGTCTTAGAGGTTTTAAACATCGTCTCTCATGTAAATCCCTATAAACAATCTACAAACAGCTTGTTTGGCTTATTTGCGATTATTGTTGTCACACATGGGACAATTGTACCAAACAGCAAACACTAACACTTGAAAAACGTAGACCTATTTGTGGTGTGGTTCGCGGTACGAGATAATTTTCCAACCACTATGCATGCGATGATACGTCCCAGAACATCCAGTTTTTAATAAAATGAATAACAATTTCATATTTCATACATAACATATTTCAATAATCTTGTCACTCCTGAGGGTATCTGACACAACAAACTGAAACCGTTCGAAACTTCAAACTATCGATTGTAAAAGTGTTAATTATGACATCATTTCTCTCAGGTACAGTGAAATTGTGGAATTCTTTGGCTCCCGATCACAGAGAATCGACTACCTTGGGTAATTTTAAGAAACAGATTAATGTGTCAAATAATAATAGTCCATTAACATAATAATGTGTAGCGAAACGGGGATGGTGAAATGACAATAGAATTGATGGGGTCGTCGTGACCCAGCACAGTTTATTGAATCATGACAGATATCGTTATTTGTTGTCACGCCCTTAACTACTTGAATGGGTCTTGTGGCAAATCAGTCAGGCAGTCAGTGGCAGGCAGTCAGTCTGTCAGTTCCTGTCACGAAGAGCGTTCTCGGATTTGGAAAGGAAGTCTGCTACTTGCAATGGACTAATACAGGTAATTCTTATTGATCTAACATCTGTGTAAATATCCAATGTCCTTTAAATGGGGATTATCAGCCGATTCGGTTTCTCTTATCATATATTGAAAATACAGATTATAGTCTTTGATATTTATTATAGAGGGCAATAATCTCCATGTCACATAATATCAGATGATGGATGTTTAAGACGTACACGACTCAATGCCTCGTAATACTGCACATGACTACAATGTTTAAATGAACAATGTTTGTCTCCATACTTCATACGATTGTTAGCAATATGGCTTCTGGGAAGAGTGTTTGTCGGTTACCGAGGCAGCGGGTAATATATTTTCCAGCTGTCACCCTCTGGGAGGGGTTACACGGAAACTTGTTAAGCGTCATTGACCAATGGAATTATAGTATTTTACATGAAGGTAAGATGAAGACAGAACAACACAGAAACACACACGCAGTCACTATATAAATGTGGTGTAGGAAGGGGTGTGCCATCTCTAGTAGCATGGCAGGAATCGGGCGCTAATACCATCTAGTGCATGTTTTGTTTTGGTCGGTATTCGGACTGTCTGTCTGCGAGCAGGATGATACCTTCATAGGAAACTCCTTGAGGATGAGCTGAAACTCCGCGCACCTCATTTATGTCTGAGCCAGCAACCCAGCTCATTGCCGTCTTGTATATCTGTTATGTATTCTGTATAGCCAGCGAACGAAGTTAGGACTCAACGTGCATTGTATACCTTCGTCCTCACCAACGTATAATTCTCAGCAAGTTCCCCTGTTGACAGATATTACAGCTGGGTATAGTCACCAGACATCGTTTACCCGGTGTTTTGAGCTTGTCAATCGGCTGATGCCAGTGATTTCAGGAAAGACCAGGAATTGATCTTCAGTAACCCATACTTTTCGTAGAGGCGATTAACAGGATCGGGCGGTCAGGCTCGCTGACTTGGTTATCAAACTAATTTGATGGACCATGATGTTGAACACTGGGATGTCTAGTCCAGACTAGTGCGCATAGCTAAATCTAATCAAACAACGACGATGTTCATGCAGGGCACAGGGAAGTATGTGTATGACGTGTATGACGTGTATGACGTGTATGACGTGTAATCGTGTAAACATGAAAGGATCATGTACAGATACATCCAAACTGTGTGAGGGATTCACTTCAGGGCTTTCATCTTCTATCGAAGCACGTTGTATGGACAATGAGATGTATTACATATTGAACATGCGGTTGTACAGTTGGAGGGGGTAGATCGGGAAATGTGTACTTCCAAGCACATGGGTACAATGTGTGAAGCCCATTTCTGGTGTCCCCTGCTCAGATATTGCTGGAATATTACTAAAGACAGCGTAAAAAACATACTTACTCACTCACACTGTCTTTGAGGGTACGAGTGTATATGACAGGTTGTAGATTTTAAAGCAAGGAAGGTTAATAGTGATAAACACAGTCGTTCGGAGAAAACAGTGTTGTCGTTGTCGCCCCCACCACCCCACCCCCAACACACACTCCTTTTGAGCTGACATGTCTCACGAGCAGCACATACGCTAAGTCTGTTATACTTGGAGTTAGATCATATAATGTAATGAATCAATGAATGATGAAACTGGCTGTGGTTACGCCACAAATAGTCCGCTTCAACTCCCAGAGAGAACACAATAACTGAGGAATAAGAGAAAATAGCATGGATGTAAACATCTTCTTTATTGTAGACACAACCTTCGTCAGGTGAATGAAGGGGCACAGAAATACATCCTGAGATGCAGCAAATAGATGTGTAGTGCTACTAAAACGGTGGAACGATTTACAAATGTGTGGACAGTGAGCACAATACATGTAATCAATGATCCTTGTTAGTGCTGTCAGAACTGAATCGTGTTTGGTTTATAACAAAAAAACATGAATTCTGTACATTAGAACTTGTGTGAAGCTTACAACTTTATCCCATCCTTGGGACTAAAAACTACAACAAATCAAATGAAAGCAAATCAAATAAAAATTAATAAAACCCACATTTTCGCACATACAAGATTACTGAAAACAAAATGAACAGAAAGGTGAAGCAGAAAACAAAATAGTGACAAATTAGTGTTTAGACCAATCAATAATCTAATATTATAAACACTGACCACTGCCGTTACAGTGCTAGAGGCAAATCCACACAGTTACTGCTTACTGAAAACATTGTGACAATACCGTGTGATTAACTCGGACATGAACTTAATTGAATAAAACATTTACACTGGCGAGGCCGGGACGTGGAAGGCCATGAAACTTGTTGCACACGTGGTGTAGACTGATAACACCGTCACAATGAATCAATGAATTTCTGTATATCCTCCAGATTTTACATCCGAAGATTTACAATATCCTGATGCTACTCAGAGCAAATGCATGATGTCAATATGTACAGGAATATAAATATGAGTCCCAGTAACACAAGCTGTACAAGCAAATAAAATATTCGACATCACCTATGTACACAAATGACAGCTATTGCTGCACAGCAGATGAAAAGACAAGTAGAAGCATGGTTTTAATCTCCCATATGTATAAGTAATAAAAAATATGTTTATGGAGTATAATCTCCCTTGAGATACGAGCTTATGTCTTTTCAGTATTTGTTTATAATCTCCCTTTGTGTTAACTGTTAACGAGTTTGGTACAGACATAACTGGAGAAATGGGGCCGGTCCCTGGCGTAGGCTGAAGTAGGAAACTAAGTTTTATTTGGACAGTTCAGTTCCTGGGGGTATTGTTGTTTTGTATTACGTGTATTGTAGACAAAATTACATGTAGGTGAATCGAGTTTGGCGAAATGAAGACACGGCCAGGTACGAATTCGTGGGTCGTCATAACCCAGCAGGTGTTGAACAATAACAGAAAATCCTTATTTGTAGTCACGTAATGATATTCATGGCTGAATTGTACAACGCATGAATAGATCTTATGGCAAGTCAGTCAGTCTGTCAATATCGTCACGAGGAAGGTTGTAGAACTTTTGCGTTTTGATTTAAAGTCCACTTGCAACCGACTGAAGATTTGACACAAAGCCAGGTAATTCTTATTGATCTAACAAATCTAAATGTCGTATGTCCCAAACATGTGTAACACATTACATATTTATCCCTATAACTGATGAATCGAGTTGTTAGAATTGTGTAAAATGGAGATTATCATCCGATTGTGTTTCTCTTTCGTAATTGTCATACATTAAAAATACAGATTATAGTACCCTACAATTTGATACTATGGGAATACACGATGGCCATAATTTCCATGTCATGTAATATCATTCCAAGATGATGGATGTGTAAGGCGTATACTGACTCAATGGACGTGCACATGACTACAATGTTTACGTGAAACCATGTTTGTCAGGGACAACGAGTGACAACTTGGTTTAGTTTGTTGAGATAGAAGGCACCACTTTGATTCATGGGTGACACCAGGTATATCGGACTGTCTTGCAATTGACGCTTTCCGACATGCCTTAAACATGATCAGATATTCGCATTACAAAATATCTGCAGACCTAACGCTCGTGTGTCTACAGACCTAATGATCGTCTACATACCAAGCGCTGGTGTGTCTACAGACCTAATACTCGTGTGTCTACACACCTAACGCTCGTGTGTCTACAGACCTAACACTCGTGTGTCTACAGACCTAATACTCGTGGGCTACACATATAACACCCGTGTGTCTACAGACCTAACACTCGTGTGTCTACAGACCCAGCGCTAGTGTGTCTCCAGACCTAACACCCAAGTGTATACTGACGTAACACTCGTGTGTCTAGAGACCTAAAACTCGTGTGTCTACAGACCTCACGCACGTGTGTCTACAGATCTAACGATCGTGTGTCTAGAGACCTAACACTCGTGTGTGTACAGTTCTAACGCTCGTGTGTCAAGAGACCTAAGGCCCGTGTGTCTACAGATCTAAAGCTCGTGTGTCTACAGATCTAACGCTGGTGTGTCTACAGACCTAGCACCCACGTGTTTACAGACCTAGCGCTCGTGTATCTCGAGACCTAACACTCATGGGTCTTGAGACCTAACACTTGTGTGTCTACAGACCTAACACTCGTGTGTCTACATACCAAGCCATGGTGTGCCATCAGGCCTAGCACTCGTGTGTCTGCAGACCTAACACTCGACTTTCTACAGAACTAACACTCGTGTGTCTACAGACCTAACACGTATGTGTCTACAGACCAAGCGCTGGCATGTCTACAGAACTAACACTCGTGTTCTATAGACCTAAGACTCGTGCGTCTACAGACCTCACGCCCGTGTTTCTACAGATCTAACACTCGTGTGTCTAGAGACCTAACACTCGTGTGTCTACAGACCTCACGCTCATGTGTCTACAGAACTAACGCTCATGTGTCTACAGATCTAACAGTCGTGTGTCTACAGATCTAACACTCGTGTGTCTACAGACCTAAACTACAGACCTAACGCTGTGTCTCTAAGACCTAAAGCTCGTGTGTCTACAGACCTAACACTCGTGTGTCTACAGACCTAACACTCGTGTGTCTAGAGACTCCTAACTAACTCGTGTGTCTATAGATCTAACACTCGTGTGTCTACAGACCTAACGCTCGTGTGTCTACAGACCTAACGCTCGTGTGTCTACAGACCTAACACTCGTGTGTCTACAGACCTAACGCTCGTGTGTCTACAGACCTAACGCTCGTGTGTCTACAGACCTAACACTCATGTGTCTACAGACCTAACGCTCGTGTGTCTACAGACCTAACACTCGTGTGTCTACAGACCTAACGCTCATGTGTCTACAGACCTAACACTCGTGTGTCTACAGACCTAACGCCTCGTGTGTCTACAGACCTAACGCTCGTGTGTCTACAGACCTAACACTCGTGTGTCTACAGACCTAACACTCGTGTGTCTACAGACCTAACACTCGTGTGTCTACAGACCTAACGCTCGTGTGTCTACAGACCTAACACTCGTGTGTCTACAGACCTAACACTCGTGTGTCTACAGACCTAACACTCGTGTGTCTAGAGACCTAACACTCGTGTGTCAACTGACCTCACGCACGTGTGTCTACAGATCTAACGCTCGTGTGTCTACAGACCTAACGCTCGTGTGTCTACAGATCTAACGCTCGTGTGTCTACAGATCTAACACTCGTGTGTCTACAGACCTAACGCTCGTGTGTCTACAGACCTAACGCTCGTGTGTCTACAGATCTAACACTCGTGTGTCTACGAGACCTAAACAGTGTCTACGGACCTAACGCTCGTGTGTCTACAGACCTAACGCTGGTGTGTCTACAGACCTAACACTCGTGTGTCTACAGACCTAACGCTCGTGTGTCTACAGATCTAACGCTCGTGTGTCTACAGACCTAACGCTCGTGTGTCTACAGATCTAACACTCGTGTGTCTACAGATCTAACACTCGTGTGTCTACAGATCTAACGCTCGTGTGTCTACAGATCTAACACTCGTGTGTCTAGAGACCTAACACTCGTGTGTCTACAGATCTAACGCTCGTGTGTCTACACACCTAACGCTCGCGTGTCTGGTGTGGGAAGGCTGGCAACAGACTAACATGGTGACCTGACTGAGAATGGTGTAGAATCGAAGTATATGAACGACGTCCTTTAAAAATGAACTGCGGTGAGCATGTGTCTGGCAAAGCGGAAAGAGCTATTATTAAACAAAGTTTTGGCTTTCTGAAGATAAACAATATTTTTAAATAAAATCGAAATGCTCATATACGCGTAATAGGAGCAAGTTAAGAGAGGTTTTTAGAAACCCGTACAATTGTTGCTATTCTGTGACTTCCAGGCACTCGCACACACAGAGACTCACACACATACACACATATATACGACTCCCACGTATATGCACAAAGACACACACTTACACAAAACAACACATACAGACACACAGACACACACATACAGACACAGAACAACGCACAAAGACACACACTGAGACACAGACCCACGGACAGCGAACAGCAGAAACAGACAAACAGATACACACACGCACTCAGACAAACAATCACACAGATACGTACACAGACACAGAACAACACACACACGTAGACACACACATGCTCACTGTATGTGTGGTGTAGGATGGAGTGTGACATCCCTTGTATGCACGGCAGGAGTCGGACGCTAATGTCATTATCTTGTGTATGTGTTGTTGCTTCATGTGAAGGTTTTAAATTCAGGAAGTTATTTTATCTACTGTTGTCCCAGCACGCGAATTGACGGAATCAGTGTTGTGCATTAGGGCAGTTATTCAGCTGTCATGTTGCTGGAAGACATTTATATAGGTGTAGTGCCTTCCCAGCACAGTAATGTAATAACATTGGTCTGGTCTGTTTAAACTTGTCGCATGCATTTAACTGTTGGTTAATAAGTCAGATGTGTGGTATCACATAATGTCTTTTTCAGTTATGGTAATGTGACGCGTCAATTGTATGACATAGACAGCCTGAACGTCTTGCTATCGCTCGAAAATAACTAGGGCTGAGTTGACTTGTTCCAATTGAACATACCTTTCTAAGTACACCCCCTTTAATGAGCCAGTGACACTGCTGTTTCTTGCAAAGTATATATGCTATTAACACTATTCTTGACATAAAACATGACCGGCAGATGCCGAGATATACATAAAAACAGAAGATATTTTGTGCAACTTAAAGGTTGGAGAGATTACTTTACGTATGTAAATATCAATATTTCTGCCAAATGGACAGTGTTCCCGTCAGTCACTTTATCCATTACAGATTAGCACAGGGAAATATTAAGGAGAAACTTTGTAGTCTGGCATCAGTCATATATTTGACTTAAATACGTGGACTTCATTGCAAAGATTTTTAACCATAATCCATGGATGGAGAGATATACATAATGAGCATATAAAAATGTTTATTGCTACTAAAACGGTGGAAAGATTTACAAATGTGTGGACAGTGAGCACAACACATGTAATCAGTACTCCTTGTTAGTACTGTCAGAACTCAATCGTGTTTGTTTTATAACACAAAGCCATAAATCATGTACATTAGAACACCTGTCAACCTAACAATGTTATCCCATCCTTGGGACTATAAAACTGCAACAAATCAACTCAAAAATCATAAAACACACATTTTCGCGCACAAACAAAATACTGAAAAGTAAAAATAGAAAGTTCAAGCAGAAAACAAAATAGTGACAAATTAGTGTTTAGGCCAATCAAGCAACTATAATAATCCATTCTAATATGACAAACATTGACCACTGCTGTCACAATGCTGCGAAATATGGGGAGTTAAATATAATGATTCCATTGAAAAAGTCCACGCTATATATTTTAAACATTTATTAGGTGTTGATAATATGCCTCTAACAAAGCTATTTTAGGAGAAATTGGTCGCACTGGTCTCTTTGTTTCATCTCAGTTAAGGGCTGTCAAATATTGGATAAAGCTACTTCGTATGATTTCAAAAAGATTTACCGTTCAATGTTATAACATGTTAAAAAGATTGGATGATAATGGGAAAGATTCTTGGGTGTCTGATATAAGAAATATTCTATTTATGTCTGGTTTTCCCTTGATTGGATATCTCAAAATGTTGGAAATGACAAGTTATTTACCTTTATCCTTAAAACAGAGATTAAATGACATATTTTCACAAAACTATCATCCCCAAGATTTCTGTGTCATTATGCAAACATAAAATCATTAGTTATTCCTGTAAAAAATATGTATCCGAACTGCAGGATAGAACTTGAACACGCGCATTCTGTAAATTACGAGTATCACTCCACAATTTTAATGTTACATATTTTAGAAAGAAGTACATGATAACCAAAATAGTTTATGTCACTTTTGTAATGAAGGCTATGTCGAGGATGAATTTCATGTTCTTTTCATTTGTGAGCATTACCAGTCTCTTAGAAGCAAATACCTTTCCTATGATCTCAGCTGTGTACAAAGATGAACAACACATGAAAAACCTGTAAACTTAAGAAATAGCAATATAATATTATCTGTTTCAATATTCCTTAAAAAGAGT